CACACACACACACGCACACACACACACACACACACACGCACACACACAAACACATATCACCTGTAACTCCTTCACTCTCCCTTCCCAGTGTGCTCGCTGATCGGCACTCTCAATGGAGTAGGACTTACCAGAGATCCTACGGACCCAGCCAAGTTCCTACAGGTTTGTCTCTGATATCATGACTTGTTCACTTTCGTCTAGCAGTGGTTAAAACAAGATAAAATGAAATCGCCCTGTTTAATCATCTCTGACCTTTAGCGTACGGGTTTAAAAATTGGATGACCAACAGAATCTAAAAGCCCTTTCATGAATGTTACAGCAAACTAAAATTCGGACACATTTTCTTTTATTCATGTAAGCCTAAAACGGGTAAAAAAATGAAGGTGGATTTACAGCATACTCTGAAAAAAAAAGAATTAACCCCTTCACAGCTACGGCGACGTAAGACTCACGTCTTCTCTGTGTTCTTTGAGTTATCGGTATCGTATATTTTTAGCAACTCTTAAAATTCATTCATTTTTTACTGATTCAGTCCGCTGATAATTTTAACTCTGGACACAAATATAATTTGTGACCGCTTCGTGACCTCACTGGTGCTCTCACAAATAGTAAATAAAGAAAATAGAAATATCTCAATTTTCCCCGGGTCGATCTCTCTTGTGGACGATACGAATAAGCGATTCCCTGTGTTATCCCCCATAATATTATACCCCCATCTGCCCCACCACTCATTTGCCTCCAGAATGCACGGTCCAAGATATTGTAATTGTAATTCAAATCTATGAAAAGAAATGCAGGAGAACGTTCCATAATTTCAACCTTTTCAGTGCTTCCTGAGCGGTTCAGATCTTCAGACAGATTATGCTGTGGAGAGTAAGTTCTGCAGGTTCGGCACCTTGTGGGATGACGACATTGGAACGTGTGTAAATCCTTTCGCAGTGGGAAGCGGTAAGTCATGCACTGATAGTTATCTATCCACTGCCACCTCCTTGTCCTCTTCCTCCTCCTCCCTACATATCCCCCTTCTCCTCTTACTCAACGCAACAAATTATACTACTTTTACTTTTTCTCATTCCCTTTTCTCCTCCTCACACATTTTCATCCTTGTCACACACTAGAGCATTCATCCTTCAATCAGTTTCACCCTTCTGTCACACTGTCATCGTCCTCCTCCAAGACATGAATCCTTCGTTAAGTTTCATCTTCCCAGCACAACATTTTCACTAGCCAGTCACAATTCCACTCTCCTCCCACACCTTCGCTTCCCACCCCTTCCACCCTGTTAAATACATGTACAGGCTTTGCCCCACCAACTCTCACTATCCCCATTAATCATCGTTTATCTTATAACTTACAACCCCTTGTATGTTACTCTCAAGTAACACCTACAATCTTCTACACTTATAATTATCTATCACCTTTCTGTGTTGCTAATACCTTAAAACTCCCCCCACCCCCCCCCAAAAAAAAGAAAACCAAACAAACAAACAAAAAATCCCAACAAATTTTAAAATTAAAGTTAAAAAAATAATTTAAGAAAAACAGGAAAAAAAATCAAACAATAAAACAATTAAAAAATTCAACAAAACCATTTTAAATCCAACTCTCCAGACCCATGTAGGAGCGGTACCCCCGGCGACGAGCGAGACTACGGGATCCAGTGTAACGCCTACTGGCAGTGTGCAGGTGGGGGAGGGGGAGGCGTGGTGGGCTCCAACGCCCTGTGCTGCCCCACTGGCCAGGCCTACGTCACAGGGGTCGGGTGTGTGGCCGACGCCAGCTGTACAGACCAGTGTCCTCCCACGTCGGCGGCCAGCTTCCCTGGTGGGTTGGTTTTTTTGTCGTTGTTGTTGTTGTTGTTGATGATGATGATGATGATGATGATGATGATGATGATGATGATGATGATGATGTACATTTTGTTGTTCTTGTTGTTGCTGCTTGTTGTTGTTTTTGTTGTTGTCGATGTTGTTGTTGTTGTTGTTGTTGTTGCTACTGCTACTGTTGTTGTGTTCTTTTGTTGTTGTAGTTTATATTATAGTTGTAATATTGTTGTCAGTCGGCAAGGCACCGAATAACGATGATGAAAAATAACGACCTACTTGACTCATGCTATGTCCTTTTTCAAGGCAATACCTTTTCTCCCCTGTCCCCTCTGACATTCTCGGGAGATTTATTGAAAGAAAGTGCAAAAAAGAAAACATTTTGAATTCATTCGAACCTCAGGCTTTGAAAAAGCATAATCACGATTGTAACTTACTGTGCGTTCTATTGGAGCGGACGTTTCGGTTTGGAGTACTTAAAAATATATTGAGGAAATAAGCTGGGAGAGGGGTGGGATGATGGCCGAAGTGTGTTGTTGGATGACACTGGTTGATGAAAGGGCGAAGCACAATTGGAGTGGAAAAACGGTGGAATGATGGAGAAATAAAGTCACCTCACACCCCCTCACACTCCAGACCATCGCCCTCCCCACTCACCTCTCACTTCCCCCTCCCCCCTCCCCCTCACTGTTCCTATTCCCCCCAGTATTCTGCCCGTACGCTGTGTCTCCCCTGGGGCCGGAGTACTACCGTGTCCACACATCAAGCTTCATCATTGACAAGGCCTGTCCTACTGGCTTGACCTTTGACTTTGAGTTCTGCTTCTGCAACGGAACGGCCACAGACGGTAAGGTCGTCTGTAATGGGGTCAAGGTTGTTCCTTGTTCATTACCAAGGGGGGTGGTATGCGTCGTCGGCGAATTGTTAAAACCAAGCCAATGAGCAACATTTTACGGTAGCTAATAAGGAAACACTCTTTTTCAAAATGAAATTTATTCTTACATTGTGTCATGTCATTTCATCCCTGATTTGAAATTCGACAAAATACATGCGACATAATATACCATAATAATATATTGCGTAGCTGCCAGAAAATAAATAATTTTGAGCTTTGAAAATTTTAACACCTGGCCAACTTAGTGCAGTGGAATGATGAGAACATAATACAAAAACTTACAAATAAGAAAAAAAGAAAAAAGACATTAATAAATAATTTAAAGGGGAAGTAAAACTACGAGCGTGTAA